TGTATATACAGTGTACATACACAAACTGAGATGGCTATGGTGTCACCAGATAATACAATCTCATAGGACTATAGTTGCACATGCAGTCTGTTGTTGACCAACATGTTATTATGTGGCCCATGACTATATTGCCAATGCTTTCATTGTCATAGCTAGGAATCCATCACCTTGGCCAAGGTCATGAAGATTTACTCATATGTTTTCTTTTAATTCTTACAGTTTCAGTTATGATACATGATCCATTTTAAGTTAGTTCTTCTATATGGTATGAGTTAGGGGTTCCAATGTCATTCCATTTAAAAAGTTAACCAAATTTTTAAATTGACAAATAAAAWCTGTATATATTTACTGARAACATGATGTTTTGAAATATGTATACATTGTTGAAATAGATAAACTGAACTAATCAACAATACATTATTTTGCATACTATGCTTATTTCTTTTTTTGTGGTGAAAACACTTAAAACCTATTCTCTCAGCAATTTAAAAAAATACAACACATTTTGAACAGTGTTAAACAGTAACATCATATTTTTTCATGTGGATATCTAGTTGAAAAGACTTCCCCACATTAACTAGTATTAGCATACTTATTTAAAATAAATAAATGTGAAAGTTTGCTTGTAGACTGTTCATTTTGTTTTATTGATGTATATGCATACCCATTATGGCTTGGTTACTGTAGCTTTGTATTAAGTAAATATACCAGGAAATGTGAGTTCTTCAACTTTTTCTTTTCAAGATTATTTTGGCTATTTTGAATCCCTTGAATTTTCAAATAAATTTTCRGATAACCTAGTCAATTTCTGCAAAAGAAAAATCATCTGTGACAGGACTTATATGAAATTGGTAGATCATTTTGAGGTTAATTACCATCTTAACAACGTTAAGTTGTCTGAATCATTAATATGGGATTTCTCTCCATTTATTTAGACATTTAATTTATTCTAACAATGTTTTGTAATTTTCAGAGTATAAGTCTGGGACTTCTTTGTTTAAATTTATTCATGTATTTTATTGTTTTGATAATATCGTAAATAAATTTTTCTGAATTTTATTTTGAGATTATTTCTTGCTGGTATATAGACATATAAATCATTTTACACTTTATTCTTATATCCACAGTGAATTCTAATTGCATACTTTATTGTTTGGAAACCCTTCAGAGACCATAAGCTCCTTGAARTCAGAGACTCTTGCCTGTGATGTTCATTTAGAATCTGGAACAGTGACAAGGATAGAGTTAGGATCCTACAAACAGCTAAGTATTGAATAAACAAATATTTGTTGAATCCCTTCTATCTTCATAGGATATTATGAGAGTCTATGAGAAATACAAAGAATTATAAGTGCATAATATCTCCCTTAAGTGTCTTAAAACTTGTTTACAATCATATCTTTCTTAGAACAAACACTAAATAAAATTTTAAAGTCTACTTTACTTCTTTTTATTACTCATCCCTTATAATGTCATCCTGGACTCTGTTTGCCATACCTCTCCTGAGGCATCTAATAACTTATATTTTCTGGTCCTAGGTGTRCATTAATTGACATTAAAGCCCATTGTCGTAATATATTATGTCTTGTGTCATTTTGCACTTTTAAATAGAAAGAACTATAAAGGGCACAAGTTGAGAGTGGGAGAAGATTGTATCACTTCAACTCATTTCTTCTGCAGTTATTGAAAGGGTAGAATATCAGGTATGGTATTTTTCAGGGAGGCTGTCTATCATGTTTGGAACATGCAGTCTTATAAACCATCTATTCTTCTTTAAACATATGATTATTATTAACAGTACTTGTCCTCAGTWTACCTGCTATTCCACAATCTACCCAGATCCAGTGCACTGTGAGTCTTGCTGACCTGCTCTTGGCATAATGTTGAAAACTTCTCACTAGTAATAGCATATCTTTTTCTATAAATGTAGAGTCTTATTTTTTAATGCTTATAGACATAAGCATGACAGGTGTTTCTGACTAAATGATGAATTTGTTCTAACTGGATAAAATCTTAATACCTTTCAGTAAAAATGAATTAACATGTGGAGAAAAATCTTGAAAGGTGAAATTATCTTTATTAGTTTTTTAAATAAAATGCAGATCATTGGCTTGACTAGATCTTTCATGTACTCTAGAGTTATTAGGACTAATTTTTTAAAAAATTTCCCTTTCTAGTTTGAGAATCAAAATTTTTAAGCCAAAATCTGACTTAATTTGCCATATAGAATTGTCATTGTATTAATGCATATCAGTTTGCAATTTATTTAATGGGGGCCACAGATAGGTGTTCTTGAAGACTTACAMATATGAGCCACTTCTGAAAGTTATGCTAGAAAATATATATGGTAAGGGAGGAGATATACAGTAAGATGAATGAAGATATGCTAAAGGATRTGGGAACATCATAAATTACTCAAGGTTTTCTGGAAGTCATCTCAGGGAAGCAGTGTGGAACGAATGGAAATGCAATTTATCCATTTGAAATCTCATTATTGGGCTTACTCTGGAGAAATACCATGAAAATAGATGGTTCAGTTATGAAAGCATAAAGTAAGGGGAGTACCAGGTCATGGGTAGTATTAGATGTCTACACCTAGCAATTAGCTGGTCTCAGCACAGCAGAAGTAAGTGTCATGTTCTCCTTGGCCACATTATTTCTACAAAATGTGGGAGTTCTCAAGTCTCTTTAGCTGAGAAGCAATTCTGGAGATTGGCTGACATTCTGACTTGAATTTCACATTTACCATGTAACAATGATTTTCCATTTAGCATTTTCTCCCTATAATAAGAGAATGAGTTTGTGAGTCCTGAGAATGGCAATGTTCCCTTCTACTATAGTTTGTATATTAAGAGACCCTGAAAGGTCACTTGGTCCCCAGAGAGATGACATTGAGAGGTGGTGAAATATTTAAGAAGTGGGGGTCCTAGTGGCAGGTCCTTAGGTCATTAAAGGAAAGCCTACAAAGAAYTGTGGGATCTTGGTCTTTCTATTATTGAGTTTGAGATATGACCATCTGTGAATATACATGTTTTTGCCATGATGAGCTKCTAGGATGTTTCACCATCTGCCATATCACCAGAGGCCAAAAGAATAAGGTTAACTGATCTTAGACTTCTAGCTTCTCAAACTGTGATATCCATAAACCTTTTCGCTTTACAAATTATCTAAGATATTTTGCTGTAGTAATACAATGCAGACTTTTACACCATCTTAAATTAATATATTGGCAGTCYGTTTAAATGTGACTTTGTTCCTGAGGGACAGAGCAATTCTCAGTGTTCCTACAAATTATACCTGATAATTAGATTTTGGAGTTCACCTTACAAGTTCTGTCTGAGCCACTGTCTAACCCTCATTAGGTGACATCATTTTATTTAGCTGAGATCTATATCAAAGCACAGGATACTGCTATAAAATTGAGTGGATAGGCAATTTTGTCTTCTGTAATTCTAACTTATCAGTCCTCTGCCAGTTCCTCGACCCCAGGTTCTTTTCCTCAYCTGACAATGCCACTCTGTCAGTTTTCAAAATCTGTCAGCAAAGGATGTTTCAGAAATTTTCTTGTCAAGGGGTAAATGATTGATAACACCTGGCAATGCCCTCTAGTCATGTTTATATTGTTATACTCTAATACTCTGGCCCAGAATGAATGATATTGGAAGTTTGGGCATTGCCAAGCGATGCAAATTACTGTAGACACTTAGGGTGTACACCCCTATCTGCTATGACTCATCTCTGATTCATGGAAGAGTGACAGTTCTCTGTCCCTCTACCCCTTTGCAGGTGGAGTCTTGTGACAAGTTCTGACAATGGGCTGTGAGTAGAAGTCATGCATATGCCTTCTGAGCCAAAACAAGGGGCAAAATCCCACAAAGCTCTCTGYGTTTTAAAGGACAATAGAGGAAGTTTCATTTTTATTTATCTAATCAAAATGATAATCTCTCCAACAGATTAGGAACCTGAGAGATTGCAAGGAACAGGGCCCTCTGGCTACATTTGTATGGGTACAATTTTTCAGTTTCAACCATTGCTAAAATATTGACTATTCTTGCTCTGTTTACTACTGAGAAATCAGAGTTTATCTATTACATAGCATATTGAGATCAGCATAACACAAATATCATGTGAGCCATATAGATAATTACAAATTGTCTAGTATTCACATTACAAAAGTAAGGATGGAATTAACTTTAACAAATAATTTTCTTTAACATATCCAGTGTATTATCATTTGAACACATAATTAAGTTAAAAAACACTAACAAGATACTTTACATACTTTTTTATTGCCCTAAGTTCTCAAAACCACATGTATATGTTACCCTTACAATTCATCTTCTTTCAAACCAGCTGTATTTTGACTGCTTRAACTCCACAGCTGTCCATTTGGGGTAGAATTGTATGGAGCAATGCTGATATATAGTATTCTTTTTTCTTATTCTTCTTCTTGAAGCCAAAGGCCTATTTCTTTTCTTTTTTTTAAACTGTTTCTTTTTTAAATTTATATATGACAGCAGAATGCATTACAATTCTTATTACATATATAGAGCATGATTTTTCATATCTCTGGTTGTATACATAGTATATTCACATCAATTTGTGTCTTCATACCTGTGCTTTGGATAATAATGATCATCACATTCCACTATCATTAATTACCCCATGCCCCCTCCCTTTCCCTCCAGCCCCTCTGCCCTATCTAGAGTAAAAGAGAATAAAATCATGSCATTTGCAGGTAAATGGATGGAGTTAGAGAAGATAATGCTAAGTGAAGTTAGCCAATTCCAAAAAAAACAAATGCCGAATGGGAGAGGGAGCATGGGAGGAATAGATGAACTCTAGTATTCTTAATTAATATATAAATCATAAAAGCATAAAGTTTTAAATAAATTATGACCATGGTCCCAAAATGGTTATTTACATAAAATTAAAGGAAGCTTTCTCTTATTGTCTTTGACTTCTAGATGTTTCTCTTTGCTTTGTTTTTCTTCCTATGAATTTAGAGACTCTAAAGCTGCCTTTGCTCTGGTAATCACAAGGTACAGCTCTTCTGAGGGCTTCTTGAATTGTGCAGCATGCTGTGATGTGAGTACACATAGGACACTTTGCTGGTCACACCAGGCAGCTACAGGGTTATGTAGTTTTGCAAACTGGCATGTTGGGCTGTTTACTCTGCAGAGAAGGCAGTCAAGTAGTTCCATCCAGTTCATACAAGCATCTCCCTGGATGCTGACTCTTCATCCATGTATTCTCTGGAAATTCAAAGAAGAAAGAAAATATAAAAAGAGTTCAACACTTGAAACATTACTGTCAATTCATTTTAATGTATATGTGTGTCTTAATTTGAATTTTCTCAGAAGCATACCCTGAGACATAATTGAAGTATAAGAGTTTATTGGGGCTATGCAGAGCATGGGAAAGTGATACAGGGAAGGAAAGGCAGAAAATACAGTGTACCTTAGGAAACCAGTTGCCATTGTGGGCTACTCTTCTAAAAGGAGAGCATAGGAAATGGTGTCCAACACAAGGCTTAGCATAATTCAGCAAGGAGAATGGGGATCATATATGCCAAAACTTGAGAGTCTTCGGTAGTTCSTGGGATGCTCCTTTGGGATGTCAGTTCTCTGATATTCCTGTCCAGCAGCACATGCAGCCTTTGAGCAGTCTGCATCTATAGTCAGAACTCCTCCAGACAAAAGGAATGGCTGGTTTGATGGATATGGTGAAGACTGGCAGAGAATATCCTCAGGGAACTTCCATTTCAATATTGGATGAAATCATAGAGTCACATTATGGTAGCCGAGCCAGGGAAAAGARCTTCAGAAAAGAGATTTAACATAAAGTCACAAGTTTAGGTTACAAGGTGGAGAGTTTGGGGTGTAACAGCTATTCCACCATGAGAACATTAAGRTCTCAGAGACAAACACTGCTTGAGATCATAAAATGTAAAGACAAAAAAAATAAAATAAAATAAAGGGCATCACCATAAGTAGGTGATAGGTCTGTAGACTCAAAGATCTGATGGTGAAAGGCTGACTGCTGCTTCTGAATGTCKTAGGGAGGATCTCCATACTGGACGGCCCTAAGCAGTGTACAGGCTGTGCAGAAGTAACTGGATTCCAGAGACTGATTCTGACTATGGATAGAACTTTTACCTGGTTGGATAGGCAGTCTGCTCACTTTCAAAGGACATTTTTTCCCTTGGTGAAGTTCACAGTTTATTTCTCATTCAGGTTTTTTTTTTTTTTTTTTTTAAGGACTGTGACACTTAGGCTTTATAGACACACTCCATACACCCTACTCTTTACAGTCTTTCTGGTGTAAGTCCATTATGGTAAAACTCATTCATTTTATAGATAAGACTTGGAATTAAATATTGGAAGCATGATAATTAATTTGCTCTTACCAAAATTCTTAAATATGTCCTTTTTGGGAATTATAGCTTCCTATGTAAAGTCCACAAGTATCTTTCTATTGTCAATATGATGGAAAAGTAAGCCAAAGTTTTTCTTTATATGTGTCAGATACAAATAGATGAACAAAATTCTATTACCAACTGTTTATTTAGCATCCACTATTTAAGTTTAAGGTCAGAGGGAAGAAGAAGGAGGTTAAAAGAAAAATGAATGAGGTAAGATTCTTATAACTCGAACTTCAGAACATGTTAAAGTTACTCATTAAAAAAATATGTGTTGTGAATATGCTACTTGTCAGATACTGGGCAAGTGCTGGAGGTATAGAGGTGAACAAGATAAACAGGAGCCCTGTGCTGATGAGGAAGACAGATGAGTGAAAAGGAAGACATACAACCACAACATGTCTTAGTTCTTGGACTGGTTGGAGCCTATTCACTTCAGTGGCCAGAAACATCCTATAAGCCTAGGTCTTTGGAAGCAAGTGTTCTAGCAATTGCAACTCTAAGTCATGTTTCAATGAACAGGATGAAGAGAGGACTGTGAACATATTTGTTAAAAGATAAAAGTGCTAGACAGATTTGGAGAGTTGCTGCTTTCTAGTGTTTGCACTGGGATCCCTGGCTGAGTTACATTGTCTCTACATGTGAGGGTCAGGTAGGTGAATTTGATGGGCTCATGGGGTGTCGATCATGAATGTGTTTCCACAAGAATCCTCCAGATAAAAATTTATTTCAAGAAAAGAGAGAGTATCAGGCACAAAACACCTTACAGCTAGAGGGCAGAGCAGGATGGTGTGTTTGTCTGGGCAACCAACACTGCTGTATTGGTGTGTGAAAAGGAAGGAGAAAAATTCCGCTCCCCCCCCCCCACAAACTGCTATCCTTCTTGGGCACTAACGGGGTCTAATGTTTTGGGGCAATATTGGATGGGAGCTGATGGGGTGGCAGCTCCATCCAATGGATTCTGTAACATCTGCAAGAAAACGACTGGAATGTCTTCCTACTAGTGACGGAGCTCATAGCTGTGATGGTGTGTAGCAAGTAGAGAACACAGTTGATAGTGCTCAAGGGAAGTAGCAGCAGTGCTAACTAGTAGAGAGAGAAAGATTCCATAGAGAACTGACAATGATGTTTCCTGGATGCTGATGCCCGTATCTTAGAGGACATGGGAGACACCCCATGGGGACTCCTCTTGAAGATAAAGGGGGAGATTTTTACAGGGAGGTAGAATTTCTTGTATGAGCAAAAGAAAGCAAGAGCCAGAAAAATACGGATGAGATCCAACTCCCATTTGTGCTCTCAGGCAGATGGAAACTCAAAGCAATTTTCCTTCTTCTCCTCAGCCTCTCTTAAAGTGATTATTACATTTCAGTATTAGTATTTCCACACATAGATGCAGGGAAACGTTTTTATTTTTTGTTCCTTTGTCATGTCAACAGCTGGGATTGGGAAACATTAAACATGAGTAAAACTCACTTTCAAAGAAATTTGTCCTGTGAATCCTGGGTTTGCACACTGTTTGTATTCACATTCCAGGCAGCATCGMAGCTTTGACTTAGTAGCAAATGATGACAGTCATCAAGTCCCTTCAGAGAGTCTTGGGCAGAATGACTGATAAACCTGTTTCTGTTTCCCTGTAATTATGGTGCCATCTTATCTTCAGGGAGAAAAATCTCCTGACACTGATGTGAAGATACTTTGCAACCTTGTCATAGTTGAAGTTTCCTCCCCCGTGGCTCTTCAGCCCTGTAACACTCCATTTCCCTTTCTTCCACAACACCAGCATTCAYTATTAATTATGCTATTTTATGCTGAGCTATTCACCCAGAATTTATTGTTTGATTCTCYACCCCGAACACCAAGGATTCCAAATAGATAATGCTCTTTCACCTTGGAATTGGTAAATTTCTTTTCATCCCTTAATTATAGTGTGTAATCTCTTCTTTGGAGCACCTTTGCCTTTAACAATTCATAGGAGTAATGTAGGTAGCTAGGCACTCTTGCCATCTCCATTAATAAGTGAAAATAACCAAGGCCCTCTTCACAAKGATTAAGGTGTGAAATCAGCTTAGTCACCCACCAATAGATGAATGGATAAAGCAAATCTAGTATATATATACACAATGGAGTTTTATGTAGCCATAAATAAGAATGAAATATTGTCATTTGCAGCAAAATGGATGGAAATGGAGGGCATTATATGAAATAAGCCAGGAGCAGAAAGACAAGTACCTCATATTCTCTGTCTTATGTGGAAACTTAAAAAAAAAAGTTGAGTGGGAAGGTGGATAGTGATGGTAACTAGAGATTGGGAAGGGGCAGGATGGTGGTGGGAAAAGGAGACTGGAATTGATCCGTGCATGCTGAATGCATACATGGAAATATCACACTGAACCCCATTAGCATGTTCAGTTAACACATGTTAATAAATGTAAAAAGTGAAAATAACTCCTGGCTCTTGAACTCAAGAGGGTCAATGTCTGTCTCAGGAGAAGTGAGTGCAGGGAAGAGTTAAAATGAAGCATAAATGAATTCCTCTGACTGGTGGGCTGCTCTGAATCTCTGTAGCTGAAAGAGCTACAAAATACAGATTCTCGTGACAGCTTGGGAAATTGAGAAACTTTCTAGAGAAAAAAATGAGTTCATTTAGCTTGACAATTATTAGCAATTTATTTCAGTAGGTCTGATTACAATAGTAAGTGAGTGAAAATTTACAAAATAAACAGCTCTTTCAAAGCCCTGAGAGTGAGCATGAGAATTTTTATTCATTCTGCTGAGTGACTGATATTAGACATTCAAATCACTCTTCTGCACATTCATTATGTGGGGTTTGAATAGCTTCATATAATCCTAACCTGCTGTGTTCTTCACTTGCTAATCTATTCCAACACCGGCAGAATATTAATGACAATGGAGCCAGACCATTTTCCACAACCTCTGCTATTTGTGCTGTGACAAAATTAAGTACAGACTGCATTTAATTACTCAGCATTGGACTTCAGCAGGAAAGAATTCAAATTTGTAAAATAACAAACTTTGGGATAATTGCATGCATAATCAATGCATATATCGTCAATTCACTGGCCACCTTGAGGTCCAGTCATTCTTCTTCCTCTTGTCTAAAGAAACGTTGCACTCTTAAGGTCACTATTCACAGGGCCTTAATTAACAGCAAGAAAAAAGCGAATTGAACTTTAATGTTTCTTTTTTGGTTTCAAGATCACCTTTATGCATTTAGAATTAAGGTTGCAGATATATTTTTTTTAAGGTCAAAGCAAGGTTATTCCTGGATATTTCTCTTGGCCCACTTTCTTAGAGACAATTTGCATGCTGGTTAAAGGTGCTGCATTTCCTTTTTTGTCAGAAAGAACAATTATAAAATTGTTTGTTGTGCAGGGCTGAGAACATAATAAAGGCCCAGATAATAAAGGACAACTTCTCCTTGACCCTAGAACACACCTCTCCAATAATATTACCATTAACTATATGGGAGTCAGCTGGTTCCTTAGGGGTGCTTATTAGRTAAAGAAAATGAGGATAGAGAAACCCTGCTTCCATCTCAGATGTTGATGTGACCTGCTATGGCTGATTTTTCTTCTAAATTACTACATTACTTTTATCTGTAGTCCTCTGGGTCCAATATTTTAGTATTAATTCAGGAGTCTATTCTTCTATTCATTTTCTATCACTCTTCAATCCCTCCTTTTTCACCATCTCTAAAATAGCATACTGTACATGCATAAAGGTCAGGGAACATAACTAGAGTTTCTCAGTTCTACCAAGATGGAAAAATGAGAGGTTTGACATCTTCTTTCCTGGTGTCTCCTGCTAGTCTGCAGGGCGGTCCCCAAAGCCTGGCTTTTATCTGTTCTTACACATATGGCTCCCAGGGAGTGTTTTATTAGAAGAAAAAGCTCTCCATCTAAAAAAAAAAAAAAATGGAAAACTGCTGAAGAGGCCTAAATACTTTGTTTTGTACCAGAGGAATCTGGAGCTCAGAAATGGTAGAGGACATACTTGGAGTCAGAGCTCAGAGAAAGGTGGGCGAGGAATGATATGGGCTCTCTTTTGTCCTATCTTCATGTCAGTTGCACATTTATGTACCTTCAGGTGCTCATTCGACCCCCAGGTCACTGTAGGAGGCAATCAAAGACAGCCATACCCACAATGAGAAGATACATGGTCAGTTCTAATTTCTTACMTTTGCACGAAGAATATACAGCTTGTCTAAAACGAATGGTAGATAACATAAAACTTGGGCTTCATCAACTGCTGGCCCATTGTTTAGTTTCAAGGTTTATTGATCCACATTCCTGTAAAATTGGATCCAGCCCCTACCATTATACAAACCCACCCTCTCCTAACTGCTAACCCTATTCAAGAAGTCAATCTGCTTGCAGCT